CCTCAAAGCGGCAGAGTAATTGCTCATAGGCTAAATGCCCCTGCTTCAAAGTATCCAAAAGGTTATCTGGTCATGTCAGATTCTCTCATGGAATGATTTGCACGGTCCACATAGTCACCGGGAGTCAACCTCAAATGAAAAAAACTAGCATTGCTGTTCCTATCAGCCATTGCAGAAGAGAAATACTAAAATTTCATTATCCAGCTTCCAAATGTTCTTTTGCAAAACAGGCTTCGATTTTAATTGCTTATTCTCAAGGTACTTTAGAATATTTTTAGAATTTCCTTTGGCTGGCATTTTGAGTTCACGTTATTACTGAACGGTAGAAAAGGTTGTTGATGTTAACACATCTCCCCACCATTCTGCAGTTTCCCTGATTGCCCAGGCTCCCTAAACGGAAAAGACCTCCAAGCAGGCATTCTATCATGACATCTTCTTTGGTATTTAATTGAAGCATAGGAAGCCTGCATAACTGTTGGAGAGATTACTGCAAAATGAAAACAATAAGATTTACTCAAACCTTCTGACCACTCTGCAATTAAAATAAATGCCAGAAGCCAGCAGACTTTTACATATTTGAGAAATGTGGGATCAACAAAAGCACTTTATTTTCTAACTTAGTCTAAATCAAAAAGCTGACATCAGCTTGAAAGCCTTTGTGGCTAGTCACCACAGGACAGAGGATTTCCCTTGAAACACATGGTTGTCAAGAACATGGACAAGAGAAATGAAGAAGTGACAAAAGAGGCAATAAATGTACTGGCTGTGTTCTTCTAAGAAGAACATCAGGAAGCCTGGGCAGGAATATAATAATATCTTAATCATTTTGGGAATACATTGTTTGGGTCTTGTCATGATACAAATGTGTCTCATTCTGCTTTTGTTAATCAAAGTGATTTGAACAACAACAAATAAATGTCAGACATGGAAAATTCCAAACAAGGCTGAAAGCCAGGCTTGAATCTGAAAAGTGTAAAGAAACCATTTCTAAAGTATAGCTCTTCTGTTGATGAAAAATATTAAACAATAGGTACTACTTTGTAATGTTCTGTTGGATGTCAACATTTAATTGCAACGGAATATCCAACAGAAAAGCAAATGCAATCACAATACTCATATCCTTCTTTGTAACTTTTAATAATTACTACCATCTTTTCTGACAGTTGTGAGTCTTTAATGGCTACATGACAGCTGAAAATTGAAGATCTAGTATTGCATATTTTTTATTTCTATTCTGAACTATTATATATCAGTTAAAAGCTCACATTCTTATTTTAAATCTAAGACTTGATCAATATATCTTTATTACACTTGTGGCTTCACTTTTCTTCCAAGGATTTCACACCCATACTTTCCTCCACACGAGGTAGGCTACTCTGAATGATGTGATATTTTCAAAGTTTCATAGCTGAAATGGGCTTTACCACTAGTTTACCACACTGAGAGCTTATGCACCAGAGATAAATTCCCTGTGTGTCCGATAAAGAATTCTATTCTATTCTAAATATAATGTTTTCCAAAAGCAGACTTTCTGAAGACAGTGACAATAGCTAGTGCCTGTTAATATTTACCATTTATACAACATTCTTCAGAATTGCCAAAAAAGATCCGTTCATAGACATTATCACACAAACTTTTGAAATCCTTCCTAAACATACTCATACACGCATTCATGAATCTGCCTAATATCAGTATGAAAAAATTACAGATTAGTTAAATTTGATTCATCAACTTTGAAAGTTACACTTGGATTCTTAAAGGCTTTCATTCCTCTGGGTTCCTTTTGGTCAGTCAAATATTTATTTTAAACTCTAGAGCCAGTTCTACTACTTGTCAAGCAATAAATTCAATAAATGTTTGTTTCTCTATCAAAGAGAAATTTCCAAAGCTAACTAGCTGCAAGTCTCATTATTTCATTAAAATACCTCCTCTTTAATCCAATGTGTCACATAGACAGCTATGGTTAATCAGTGATAATAAAAATGTATTGAAGTTCACCATAAGCTTCTCAATTTCACTACCAAGATATAGTGATGGCTATACAACTACATATCTTAGAAAAAAATATGATGGACAAAACAATCAAAACAACAACTAGTCATGACAGCTATATGTGACATCCTGTATTAGAAGAACTATTTGGTGAGAAGCATAAGTGAGTAGTGCTATTGTATTCAGGTCTCACTTGTTGATTTCTCATAGGCGCTGGTTGGGTATTATGAGAATCCAATACTGGGCAAGATAAAAATGTAATCTAATCCACCATAGTTTTTCATATGTATCACATATCAAATCACATATCAAAACAAACCCTGGTTTTAATATAAAATATCTTCCAGAAGCACTCTGTTCAATGCACCAAAGGTATCTTAAAATGTCTGGATAATGAGAATGCAAATGATTTTTAAATAAAAAATACACTTTATTTTCATTTTAAAAAGGATAAATGTTGAAGTAAGCAACAACTATTCCGTGGACAACTAGTAAACGGGATTTGAATGTGGACTGACCTGGTAAGATATAAAGAAAAAGCAGATGTTAAGAAAGGAAATAATTCAAGACTGCATCACTGCTAGTGTCACTATGACGTCTGCTACTTGCCGAACCAAGCTTGTAATTTATGGTTGTAGACATAAAACAACTGCTGAACAATTGATGCAAAACTCAACTTTAGTTTTGTTGCATAAATTAAACCTTTTACATTGTCCTGATTTCCTAGATGAAAGTGGCCAACAATGAATTTTATTTTAAAATCTTAACATGAAAAATTGTAGACAGCATGTCATTTTCACTTTAGAAACAAGATCATTTAAGATTGTAGTAGGTATTACAAAGGGCCTTTTTTTAGCCAAACAGAATGACTCAGCACTGTTTTCATTTTATTCCTTGAGAAACCATTTAAGGAATGGCTGACGCTCTCCATTCTACATTATTCACCCAATGCACTGTGCTGAATAGCTATTGAAAAAATATACAACTAGAAAATGCAAGATTGATACCTTGTATGTAGAAAAACCTCCAAACACTTCATATGTTAAAGACACAAATTAATTGAAGAACTTCCTTCCCCCCACCGCCCCCATGGAAATGAGCAATGAAGAGAAATAAAAATGTAGAAAAAATTACCCTTAGAATTATAGCTTGTTTTAATGTAAACGCATACATAATCTGTGGTTCTTCAAGAATTTATTCCACTTTTAAGTTGCAAGATACAAAGACATTTCTTGTTTAAGCAATGACAAACTTGTTCTATCAGCTTTAGAAGTCTGCAGTTCAAGGTGGATTGATTTTAATGGATTTGTATCAGATATTTGATAGCCAAAATGAGTAAAAAGGAGAAAGGAGAAAGGTTCTATAAACCTACAAGCGAAGCAGGATTTTTGCTTGTATGGTTTGATTAAAAAGTTTTTTAAAGCTTATGAGATTACAATTTAGTCAATGAAGTCTAACTCCTCTAAAAGTGATGATGACATTGATATGAATACTAAATAATCACAGTAAAATTAATATTTTGTAATATTTACTTTCATACCAAAGGGACTTTATAATGGCTAGATAGCTAACTTCTCCATTTTCATAATAAGCAAACTGACAAATGAGAGGAGAAAAGAGGGCTGTGAATAAATTAAATATCCCTGAATAAGAGTCAACTTTATCTTTGTGTGTGTGTGTCTTTTCTATTTGTCTCCCTTTAATTTCTCATAGAAGGCTAACTCTTATATAGAGAGCTCCAGACTGGGTTATCCTAGTTTTCCCTAAAAAGTTCTTCCAAAAAACAAGATTCAATCTGCAAAACACTAATGTTAAGTAAGCAGTTAAACTATTCATGTGGATTGATCTTCATTATAACAGCACAGGACACCTTGGAGTTACTCTTTATAAAGATGCTTACAAAGTAAGAATTGGATTACCAGACATACAGAACATTTGAACTATTAGAACAGGTGAGAAAAAAACTCTGGTTTTCCACCCAAATGAATAGAGACAGCTAAAGGAGTCTTGACCTGGAAATCTGTGTTCTTTTAAAGATTTTGAGGAAATGGGAAAGAATCGGGGGCAGCCTAAAGTAGATTGTAACAATAGGTAAGCCTCTGATCAGCACTGACCCTTAATGATCTTTCATTGTGGGTGACATCTGTTTTTAAATGAAAGCTATGGGAATAATGAACTGGTGAGAGTACATAAATGAGAAACATTTTCTGATCTAGTGTCCCAGCACCAGGAAGACAACTGTATATACTTTCTAAAAGCAGTTTATATACTGCAGTTTGAAAGTGTAAAAAGGAAAAGAAAAAATTGGCTTATTCATGGACGAAAATAAAGATAAATCTCTTCTGAACAGGAATGAATAGAAGGAAGGTAAGAGTAGATAGCAATCAGTAAACACTACTTGGCTGATAGAGAACTTCAACTTCTAACAGGATGCTTTACTACATTTCCCTTGCTTATCCTTAAATTCTTAATCCTTACATTTTGACATTTGTGTGATAACAACAAAATATATCTGGACTGAAATGTTAAATGCTTTTTTTTTTTTTTTTTTACTTTTGCTTTGCTTATCCCACACTAGGTCACACAAACTTCTATCCTAATAATCTCAGAAAGCTTTAGCTTAGTCAAAGATTTTCTTTAAAATTTGTTTCTCTTGGTCAATGCTGTCCAAGGCACTACAGAGCAGAGCAGAAACTTTCTGCTTGGAAAAAGGAAGCCCTTAGAAACCACTTCAGATGCAACAAACATAGGCTGTAAAAAAGGGGGAGGAAGAAAACTCCTCCAAAAGGAACCAATGCTACTACTGCTGCTGTTATGGTCAATAGCTGTTACATTCATCATCATCATCACCACCACCACCATCATCTCCAACACAGAGGAAAGGGAAAGCAGGTTACATCTTGCTGGAAAGCAACAGCAGGGAAGGATTTAATGCTTGCTGGGACCCAGAGCGCCATCTCCCTGCCCTGTGCAATGTGGTCTGTTGCTTAATTGTTATGGCTACTCACACTGCTGTTGTGGCCCGACCAGTGCACCATGGCTTGGTTATGCGCCGAATCTCCAGTGAGAGCAAAGGTCGTACTTGTCAATTTGAGCTCTTCCTGTCGGAAGCGCGTGGCTTTTGCCAGCAGCTGCTCCGGCGCTGCCCGTGCCCTGCTCTCCAGCTGCGCGTCTCTTTCAGCCGGAGCTCCTCTGGGTTTCCGACTCGACCGCCTCCTCCGATCGTTCCGGTTATTTTTTCTCCGCCGGCTCAGGAGCGCCGATCCGGATCTCCGGCCGGTCTCCAAACTGGTCCCCCGACGCCCTGCACTCCCTGCTGGAAACAGAGCGGGAGCCGAGGCTAACTTTTTGCGGGTGGGCCTGTCAACATCCGGAGGAGATAGTCTGAGTCGGATCGGGGGAAATTCTGGGAGCTCGCCGGTCCCTTTGCTCGATCCCATCCAACCCTTTGATCCCATCCCGACACGTTGCTCCCCGGCAGAAGCAGCCGAGATCGGACTCCCGGCATCCGCCGCTTCTCGGTTGCGATCCGCGGGCTTCTCACCTCTTTTATCCACAGGTATCTCTCCGGCCTCATCGCCTCCTTGTGCCGGCCTCAAGTTCATTAATAATCCTCGGGCTGGTGGCTGCGGCTGTAGCCGCACCTGCCAGCGGCACGATCGGCAAGTGATGTCTGCTCCGATAAAGCCAAAAGTAAGGATCAAAAGCCAGATCCGAGCGGCGAGCAAAGCGAAACGCCACCCTGGGTACCAGCTAGTAACTTTTCCCATTTCCCAGGAAGCGGTTGGGGAAAAACAAACAAAAGCAATGCTGACAACAACAACAACAAAAAAAAAAAAAAAACAACGGAGCGCAAATCGAAATGGGGACGCTGCAGATGTTTTAATTGTTTTTAATTGTATATATTTTTAATAATAAAAGATGCCAATAACTCCACAGAAGTTTCCGATTCTGCCGTATTTGAAGCTGATAGAAAAGGGAAACGCGGTGCTCTTTCTTTCTTTCTTTCTTTCTCTTTCTTTCTTTCTTTTCTTTTTTCTCTTTCGGATTCCCGCCCTCCCACCAAAAGACTGGCGTGTCTGATCCGGCTTTTGATGGAAGGGAAAGCCACAACCACGGGGGGAGGAGCTGAATTAAAGGGAGAGGGCGCACCTCCTGCCAACGCACCCTGGCTAGTGAATGCTGGTGCTTGCTTGGATAGCAGTCGCAAAATCGCCTATCCGCTTGCTCCCCCCGCCTTCCTTCCCGGCGCTCTCTCGCCAATCGTTTCAACTCCTTGGGATTTTCTCGTCAGTATAGTTAGGACGCGACGGCCCCCGTTCACTTTTCCGGAGCTAGAAGTACTGAGGGGTACGGGAAATGAAATTAAAGTTGTTGATAACTCAACTGTACTTCGCCATCTTTCTCAATTATATTTCCGTTTAGTGCAGGTCAGTGAAAATTAGGAAAAACAAGCAAGCAACCTGTCTGTCTGTCGTCTCTTCATTCTCTCGCCCTCTCTCTCTCTCTCTCTCTCTCTCTGTCGCGTGTGTGTGTGAACGGGCGTGCGCGCTCTTTCCCCAGCTTTTAAAAACTAAGCAGACTAGCTGAGAAATGTATAAAGATCCAGTTTCGTTTCCCCTTCGTCTGCTTTTTGCACCTTCATGCTTGCTTCTTAATAGAAACTCGTTTTTTCATCCAACACTGGATTGGTTCTCAATCACTGGAACTCAGGATTTGGAATCTAATATCCGGAAATGTAGCAACATCTGTTTCTCAGTCATTGACTTCTTTCCATCACTATTGGGACCAGCATTCTTGCATTTTATACTGCTCCCTCAGTGATTAAAATGTATGTTGCTGCAAAGCCACTCATCCAGGATGTGGCTGAATCTGACTTAACCTTACTTCAGGGGACGATTTCTATTCATATAAGATATTAATGTTTGCTTTAAGTATAAGTTTGCAAAAGTATTTAGCTGGAAATCTGTACATGCTGTTTGGATGTAAAATTGTACATTGATGTCTCAGAAAATAATATATATGCATGCATAATTTTATTGGCAGTTAATCCAGCACAGAAGGTAAATGTAGAAATACCACATGCAGAAATACCACACCACATGAATACAGAATTAGAAAGAAAGAAGCTTTGAGCCACAAAAGATTGTTGAAGTTGGCAGCACAACATGAAATTGGCAACACAACATGGCTTCCACCATAGTTTAAGCTTTTTTAAAGAAGAAAACAAAAACCACCAGTTTAAGACCCATGAAAATAGGTGAACAAATAAAAATAAAAATGTGAACTGGGAACTGTTAATAATGGTAATAAACACAAAACGTAGTCTAAAACGTGGTTGTTGAAAGGCATACTTACTGGCAGTGGATTAAAAAATTTCAGAGGATTTGGATGGTTGCATAGTTGCACTGTAGGCATATGCCAGGGGCATTATAGCTAATGTGCCCCATTAAAATTGTGTACCTTTCAATAGAAATAATTGTATATCCAAAGTGGGGAAGAGTTCTATATCTTCCTCTCAGCTATAGACTGCCTTCTCTTGTTTACTAAGAGAAGAGAGTGCCAAATCAGAGGCATGGCCTTCAAAAAGCACCTTTGTCCATTTATACTTGGGAAGCAATTGCTACTGCCTGCTGCATTACTCTTGGACTTAAGTGGTGGCTGTCACCAGGAATTGGGGTAAATAAATCACTCAAACATTGCCAAGATCTGCTTGGATAAAAGTGTCAAGAATGGAAATACGATTTTGAGAATATAAAGGCAATGAAAAGAATCCAAAGAAATTCCTATTTTCTAAGGTGTATGCCCTCTAGCTTTGAATGACCAATTATTTATAGTAAGGAGTAAGGGGTTGTCTCCTCCTTGGCCATTTTATATTTTTCTCCTTTGTTTTTTCATTCATACTTGTCAAGGATTCTACAGTATATTGAGCATTTAAAAGCTTTGGGGATGGAGGATGGCTTTCTTTTCACCTATATTCAGGTTTAGGAATGCAAAATGCAAAACAATGCTTAGCTTCATGAAAATTACTAAGACTTTTATAAAATCATTTTGTTTTCATATTGATACAGAGTTGTTTTATATAGTTAATTTATTCCTAAAGGATTTTAGTTGATGCATAGGAAACAGTCTCAAAGCAGCAAACAGTAAAAACACACATTGCTGGCAGTGTGCATAAATATGTTTGCACTAATTTGTATGTCTTCTATGTATTGTGTCCTAGCAGGTGGCAGCATAGAGCCAACCCTGGTTGATCTCAAGAAAAGCAGAATGGATCATTTTAATGTTTGAATCAGAGGAAATCCTAAACTATAATAATAGACTAGACTATTAAATTCAAAAAATATCCAAGGAAAAGCAATAGGAAATCACATCCATACCAGTGCCAAGAAAACAATAAAGTCATATTTGCTCAGAAATCAAGGTGTAGAGAAAGACTCTGTACAAGTATAAAAAAAGTGATGGCATGGAAAAATGAAAGAATGAACTATATCTGTTAGGCTGATGAAAAGTCCAGTTTTGAATGCTCCCTTACACTAATAATTACATGAAGTGATATCCTACAGTAAAGGAGAGAGATTTGTCCTGGAATTGTTAATTTTCCATTTCTAGCATATTTATTCCTTAAGCATGTATAATTAAAGTGTTTAAACAGCTTAAAGTCACATTCTTCACTTGAGTCTTGAGCAGAATACTGTTCTCATTCTGTTGTTCTCCATAGAATTTAGAAGGCTTCTACAAATTCTCAATCTGGGATACAAATTTAAGAAACACTATCCCCAACCTGATAGTGCTAGATGAACCTGCTTCAAATAGGTACATACTCTTAATCCACAATATAAATGCTAAATTGTAGCATTTTCTTTCAATTTGTTCTATTATGAATGAATATTATTAGCATAATATTGAATGTTATTAACACAATATATAATATTAAAGATCCATTTTACACTCTTATGAAAGTACATGTAATCATACTATTCGATATCTATAAAACAAAAAGTATTACTAGCATTTTTATTGGTTTATTTGTGCCTTAACTGGCAGAAATGTACAGCTGAACTTTTTTTTTCAGCTTAGATATGGTAGGGAAAGCTTCAACTGTTGTATCCCTTAAGGATGTAGCAACTTTGCATAAAAACTGATAACCATATGATAAAACACCAATATAATTAAAAATAATGTTTAAAATGTTACTGGTTTTTGTGAGAGATGACTATATATTGATACTAATTTTGTTTAAATTAGCTTAATTATTATCTTATCTCTTTAAGAATTGTAATAACTGCTCCTGATAATTCTTTGTAAGACATCCAAGTCTCCCTCAATGATTTGTAGTTTCTGGGAGAAATGATGAATTGCTTCTGATATTTAGTGAAAGCTTATTGTTCGTTTCTGAAACTGGTGGTTTCTTCAATTAACCAATCAAGAAATTTAACATAAAGATGCCTTGTATATAGAATACTAATGCTCAGAAGCTTAATTGACTTGAAATTAGCTGGATCAAACTTATCTTCCTTCTTAAATTTTGGAATAGTTATTGATCCACCAGATATTTGAGAGAGGACTCATTATAGGTAAACAAACAATAGGCAATATAGAAGCTACCAATCAGACCTTTGGTTAGTTCTGCAGGGATCAAATTCTCTATGTAGCTTGGTTATGCTATGAGTCTGAATATCTTACAGGTGAACTTGGGAACAATCAATAACTAAGTCAAATACATTCAAATACATTCAGTTGAAAGAAATGTTCACTAAATAGAGCCTGGAATTGCTCTATCAGACAAGATTAGCATCTGTAGCTCGTATACAGTCTGCATGTGCAGATCAATCACAAGCAGGGGTGGGATTCAAATTTCTTTACCATCGGTTCTGGCCTAATTTGTGGGTGTGGCTTGGTGGTCATGTGACTGGCTAGGTGTGGCTTGCTGATTTGCTGGGCATGGCTTGTATGTAAATATTATAAATATGTAAATATTGAATTTTTTATTTTTTTAAAAAGCAACTTTTACCCAAAATGAGGTAAAGCAGGCAAGCAGATTGAGTTGCTCACAGAATCACTGATTCACTGAGAGATCTACCATTCTGCAATCTGCTACCTGAGTCTGTCACATAAAATTTGCTGGCAAGCAAACTCACAAAATTTACTCACAACACACCATGTATGTAAATATTATTTTTTTTATAAAAAGAGCAACTTTTACCCAAAATCAGGCAAAGCAGCATGCAGTCTGAGTTGCTCACAGAATCACAGATTCACTTAGAGATCTACCATTCTGCAATCTGAGTCTGCACTGAAAAATAGAAGCTTCAGTCCTAAGGAAGATTCAGCTCTGCTTTTAGATTAGCTAGAAACCAAGAAATCCAACGATTTCCTGCTTTCTAGTTAATCTAAATATCCCGGAAGAGCAGAACAGCTGATGGTCAGGCGGGAAAAAGGAAAAATAGCAACTTACTAAATGCAGGCAAGTTGGATGGCGCGCATACCAGGTAAGGAGTGAGTGGGCAGGGAGGGGACAGGCCAGTCAGGGGTGCAATTTCCCGGTTTGCCAAACTGCACAGAATTGTAACAACCAGTTCTACAGAACCGGTTTGATCAGGTAGAATCCCACCCCTGGTCACAAGACATCTTAAACTAGCTTTTTCCACTTAACCATTTTGTGTGTCATGTTTTTTTTCTCAAATAGGGACTCAATACATTTGTTTCAAGGTAAATTCAGTACCCTCCAAACAGTATCCATCACTATTTTTAATTATATTTACAGTTTTAGCTTTTATATAGTTATCACATAGATT